CCACAACATTCAGTAATAACTCATAGGTACAGCTTTCCTTTAGGCTGAATTGTTGCAGCAGAACATAGCTGGAGCTTGCCCAGTCTGCAATTCTGCAAAAACCTAATTTTCATAAAACAGTAGAAATGGCAATTGTGGATAAGCCAAAGAAAACTCATACTCTTGCACATACATTCAGCCCCAGTTTGTGTGGAGTTAAAACTGCACAAAGAATTAAAAATAGCCCTGAAGAACTCAAAACTCAAGAAATACCAAAGTTTAAGTCCCTTTCAATGTGGTTGCTTTTCCTCGCAGACCAGGGTCAGGATGATGCCTTCAAAATCCAGGCATCAGCCACTTTTCAGGCATAACAAGGAGAGCATACTAGGGTCCAGCTACCTATGCTTCCCACTGAAACCTGGCTCCTCCTATCTCCTCTGAATTTTGCTCTTGCCAGATTCCTGTTGCTGGATCTTGCCACTACTTTGAAGATCCTGACACTGGTTTCCCCAGGAAAACCCTCATAGCCTCAGATTAAGCTCTGTCATTTTTCTTTTGCTCTTAGAATGACTGGTGCAAGACAATGTGTCATATTCTCTTTCTCACCATGCATCATATCTCATGAGCTTTCAGAGTTTGCAGCAGGTTCCCCCAACACAGACAAGCTTTGTTTTAGTGCACAGGCCAAAGGTTTCAAAGCATTTACTCTCATCCGTTTGCTCTGTAGTGCTCCATGGAGGAGACACCAAACAATAGTGTGTTTAGCCACTTATGATGGGGACCTCAGAAAAAGTGAAAAACACTTCAAACTCCATTGCTCGTGCTAAGCTGGATTTGTTTCTCAGCCAGAAATCAATCCAGTGTATTTTCCTGCCCTGACTTCATTGGGGTTATGTAGTGGCTGCTTCAGTTTTTACTGAAATTCAACAACAGCAGTTCTGTATTGGGAATAAAATAAATAAAGCCCAAACTATAAAGGTTTGATCTTTGCATTTAATTCAGCTTCTCTCTCCCTGCTGAATTTAGTGATTCAAGATCATGTCCTGTAGACCTAAGATGACTTTCAGATGCCAGTGATGTGACTCTAAACTGAGTGCCACCACCATTTGGCCTTTCCTTGAGGACCTGTTGTTGTCTGGGCCCTGGACTGCTTTCACCATCCCACCTGAGCTTCCCTGACATGCTGTCTTTGCTGCCCCATTTCTCTGTCTGTCCCCTCTCCATCCCATCTCCAGCTCTCTGCTGTCCCATCAAAGTCCTTGGATGGGAAGCTGGAGAGGCTGTGCTGACTTGTTACCTCCTGCAGTACCAGAGGGCATAGGGAGGAGGAGGGGGTAGAAGAGAAATTACACTGATTCAGAGCATGTGGGACTCCTTAGAGCTGATGGTGGCAATGGGAAGCAGTGTGTGTATCCCCTTTCAGGACTGACTGTTTTTACTTTATGGTGAGGGACATTGTGGAGGAAAACATGACACAAAGACAAAAAAGCTCAGATAAATCCCCAACTGTTTGTGAATGTTGGTGGAGAAGGACCAAGCCAAACCTATGTAAGGTCAGTGGCTGCCACCCCACACCACTTTTGTCTCTCTCCCTATGCTCTCTGTACAATTAGCTCTTCCTGGGACAGGCTTGGGTGCAGGGATTTCAGTGGTAAAAGAGTGTATCCCCCCAAAGGATATATTCAACAGCATTGTGGCTGTGGGCTGGTTTCTGGCTTGCCTCTCTACCAGGGCCAGCCAGACCAGCTGGGTCTGCAGCAGCTGATGCCTATAAAGGGCTGTGAGGGTGACAGGAAAGAGAAGGTGGAGTGTATTTAAGAGGGTAAGTGGCAGAGAGGGATGTCTCTGAGTGATGGGCAGGGCTTTGTCTTCTGGGAAGACTTGGCTTCGGGCATTAAAAGCACCCTGATGGTGCTGACTAGCTGGCCCAGTGGCTCCTGTCCCAGGACAGGTGCCTGGAGCACATGTAGAGAAGCACTACTGATAACCGCCCTCTCCCTTGGTTTCCTGTGCACATGCTTTTGTGTCCAGACCTCCCTGCTCCTCTGTGGATTTGGCTCCCTGATGTCTGGACCCATGTCTGTTGCTTTGACTGTGGCCAGTCATCCCTGAAGCTGAGTGCTGTTGATCTCCTTCCAGTGCTGAACAGTGTGGACCTGCTGGTCCACCCAAGCTCCTTGGCACAAAACAGGAGAACTGGGCAACGCCAGTGGGAAGATGGCTGGGGGAAATGTGTGGCCCCTCTTCCAATGCCGTGGGCTTGTTAATTTGGCAGGCAGCTTCTGTTCAATGATGTTTTTTCCAGACCACTCAGTTTTTGTAACACCTGGCTGCCTGCAGACCCTACAGCTAGGAGAAAGCCTAGTCCTCCTTCTCCTCTGGTTTAGTTCTCTTCAGCTGCTACTGCTGTGGGCTGCTGCACCTAATTCAGCCCTGGGTGAGCTAATCATGGAAAGCCTGGCCCTCGGAGGCTGCACTGAGCTGGCTGAAATACTGCTTTCATCTTTTGTGGGGCTGAGGTGAAGGTGTGGTTCACCTGGTGACCATCCTTTGCAGGATACCAGGTGTGCTCCAGTACCTGTGAGCAGTGTGGGAGCTGGTGGATGTGTGTAAATCATGGGCAGCAACACCCTGCTGCAGCATCATGTGCTGGGCCATCCCTCAAGCCTGATCCTTCCTAGACTGAACTGGAAGTTGCGCACAAGAGCTGTGAGGTTAAGACAGTTTCCAGACCCCTCCTTACCTGGGGGGGGGGGGGAGGGAACCACCAGATGACAGCACCTAGGTGGGACTTACTTTCAGCTGTTTCTGCATCTCTGAAGAGACCAAATCAAGCAGGCAGTCTGAGTATATATGCATGGTGTCCTGTACAAGACCATAGTTTTTAGCAGTACTAAAGGATGGCTTTCCCATCCCATGGCACTGACTCCTGTGGAAGAAAATTCTACTGCCCTTCACAGCTAGGGTGGAGTGGGCTGGGCTGGCTGTGCTGTTTTGCAAAGGGAGGAAGAGCAGTATCTGGAGCCCATGGTCATGTCCTGGCTGGGCTGGTGTCTTGGAAATGTCGCTCTGATGGATCTGGCTATTGAGAAACTTGGCTGGAGCTGCTCGGGAACCTTCAGGAGAGACAAAGACAGAAGCATCAGAGCCCAGTGACTCCCTGCTGCAGCTCAGCCTTTCTGGATGTGAGGGATCAGAGCTGTTTCACTCCAACCTGTGCAATGGCACCATTTCTTGTGTGCCCGAGCTTCCAGTGTAGTTACACTGGGATTCAGCGAGGCTGTCCCGAGAGTCCATTTCCTTCTCCCATGGGATTTTGGCAGGGTGGTGATCTATCCCTCCTAACCTGTGGCCTCTCCCCTTCCGATGAGCTCCCAAAGGACATGACCTTGGTGCCTGTATCACCCACGTCATCTGGGCGTGGGGAACACTCGGTGACGAGGATGCCCCACAGAGAGGCTGGGAGCGCTCCTGTGGCTGGTACCAAGGTCACTAGTGGACACAGGAGGTGAAGCCCCTAAAAACCTCCCATCATCCACGAGCCTGTAGCGAGTCCCTCGCAGCTCTGCAGCCGGTTCTCCCTTGCTAGCTGGAGAGGAGGGACCCGGCCCTCCTCCGTGCCGGAGGAAACTGCTGCCGCGCTGTCCAGGCTGCTCCGGCAGCAGCGGGTAAGCGGTCCCGGTCCCGTCCCCGGTACGGGTGGCTTCGGGCCTGCGAACCCGTGAAACTCCCCGAAAAATTAGCGAACCCCCGCCAGGGAGGAGAGAAGGAGAGAGCCGGGCAGGACGGGAGATTGTCGGGGCTGCGGGAAGGCTCCAAGTTTCAGCTTCTCCGGCCGGGCGGGATCTTTTTTCCTCGGGCTTCCCCTCCCCGAAGCAGATGCTGTTTGGCGGAGCTGGAGCGGCGCTTCCCCGGGGCTACCTCCCCCTGTGACTCCGCGGTACCGGCGCCCATAACGGACCGGGCCCTGCTTGGCGTCAGCCATCACCGGCGGAGAGCCTTCCGGGGCAGCTCTCCGCCTTTGTTTTTGTTTTGGTTTATTTTCCCTCCTCCCCTCCCAGCACTAATTTTCCTTAAACACTCCGGGGCAGCAGGAGCGAGGCGCCCGAGGCAACGCGCAGCGCGGGGGAGTGCATCCCCGCCGGGAACCGCAATCCTCCCCGGCCGCTGCCTCCTCGGGCCGGGACTGGCTTTTTCCAAAAGCTCCCGGCCTCGGCTTCTCCTGGAAGAGGAGTTGGTTTCTAGGCGGTTTCACCAGCGAGAGAGCCGCGGTGGCGGGCCACCACTCTCCACCTTTTTTTTTTTATTATTCCTTTTTCTCCTTTTCGGCTTTCTAAAAAAATAAGAGGGGAAAAAAAAAAAAAGCCAGGGAGCTGAGCCGAGGCCGCCCGGTCGTGCCCCCCAGAGCCGGGAAGAGCCGCCGGCCCCTCGAGGCGTGGCGGGGCTGGTGCCTGCAGCCAGGCAGGAGAGCGGGGAGGAAACTTATTTCGAGTGGGGTGGAGAGGGGAGGGCAGGGCAGGGCAGGGGGTGGGGGTCGGGCAGGGAGGTATCAGCTCCAAGAAATGTGCCTTGGCAGCAGTCGGACGGGCGCTTCCCCGCAGGTTGGTGCGCTCCGCTCCGGAGCCGTCCAGAGCGCTGAGGCTCGGTCCCCACTCCGGGCAGCATCGGTGGCGGGAAAGGCGAGGAAGGCCAGTCCGGGGAGGTAGGAGCCGCTACAGGATCATCCCGGAGCGGTGGCTGCGGACGTCTTTCCCGCAGGCTCCCTGCAAGAAGGCTCCGCCCGGGCGGTCCCAGGTAAGCGGTAGAGCCCTGCCGACGGCTGCCTCGCATCCTCCCGTCCCGCATCATCCTATCCCTCTGCAGCGGAGGGCTGCGGGGCTGGTGGGACGCTGTGAGCCCGCCTGGAGTAGGGGCTGCGAAGCCGGAACGGGGAGTTTGGGGTGTTTCTTCTGTCAGGAGATAAGGAGGGAGGAGGGGAGCGGGGCGTCCCGGGAGCTGGCGGGTAGCCGGGGCAGGGAAACCCCGGCCGGGAGCGGTGAGGCCGGCGGCCGGGCTGAACGCGGTGTGTCCGGGCTGTGTTGGTAGGCGAGCGGCGTGGCCCCCTCGCCCGGCTCGGCTCCTCACCATGCTGGACGGGCTGAAGATGGAGGAGAGTTTGCCGAACGCCCTGGACCCCGCGGCCCCGTTCTCCTCCCTGCTGGGTAAGACTGGGCACCCCGCTTGCCCTCCTGGGGACCCTGAGGGTAGGGCATAGCCGGGCGGGACACGAGCGATGGGCACCGGGGAACCCCGGTGGCAGCTTTCTCTGCGGCTCGTTCCTGCTCGGCGCGGCACCACGCAGTGCCCCGCGCCCGCCTTCTCCGCTCCCATTTCTTTCCGTAAATGCATTAAATTGTGTGCTCCCGCTCTGTCCCCCACTACAGTGAAGGCCTTTCCTTCGTATCGAACAATAAATAATTTGTAATTTTTAATTTCGTTTTAATATCCGTTTCAAACAATCGCTCTCTCTCCGAGCTGCGGTTCTGCCTTCACCTTTACAAAAAGAACGAAATTGGGGACGATGACCCGCTCCCGGAGCTGCTCTAAGGCACAGGTCGCCCCCGGATCCCGGAGCAGCACCCCGCACACCCTCGCCTCCCACCCGACCCACCAGCCCGCTCCGGGGAAGCGGGAACAGCGCGATCCTCTGCTCGTCCCTCGCGCGGTCCGTCTCCCCGTCCACCTCTCCCTCCACCCACCCCTGCGCCCGGGTCCTTCCCGCAGGCAGAGCCGCGACCCCCAAGTCGGTGTGTGAAGGGTGCCAGCGCGTTATTTCGGACCGGTTCCTGCTGCGCCTCAACGACAGCCTGTGGCATGAGCAGTGCGTCCAGTGCGCGTCCTGCAAGGAGCCCCTGCAGACCACCTGCTTCTACCGTGACAAGAAGCTCTACTGCAAGCTGGACTATGAGAAGTAAGTGTCCCCTTGTCCCCCCGGTGAGCCCCCCTCGTTCCCCTCCCAGCACCCTGCTGAAAGCATGAGGGGCTGGGGGGCTTTCCTGCAACTTCCCTCCTTCCTCTGCGCTGTGTGTCCCAAGAGGTGTCAGCTTTACAGTGCTGCGTGGTGAGTTGTGCTTCTCCCTTGCAGCCTTGTCGTGCCCCAGTTCTCCCGTTTTTGGAAGTATTTCCTTGTGCTTGGCTTGGGCCTTGGGCATTTAGGAGCCCTTTGTTCGAATCCTGAGACTTGGGGTTACTGAGCCTGAGCCTTGGTAACCCCGAGGCTGTGGAGGGACAGGGACAAGTGTTTTCCCCATCTCCTCTGGCTTTGTTCTCCAACTGAGCATCTTCAGGAGGAGCATTATATCCTCCCTCATGTTGTTCTGGATGGAATTAGGAAAATATTATATATTATTAGAAAAATAGTCCCACAGGCAGGACAATACTATTGTTCCCCCTAGTCAGATGGGGAAACTGAGGCTCTTGTTGGGGACCAGTGAAGGCCCCACTGAATTTGGAGTTTTTGCTTTCACATGCAGAAGGCTTTACCTGCATCTGGGGCTCTCATGAGCAGGAAATTTAGACACGGGTGGTTAGAGCTTCCAGTCCTGATGCTGCTCCTTTGGCAAGTGTGGGGCTGGAGGGGGGGAAGAGAATGAAAAAACTATTTTTCCTTTTTTATTTAAAGAAAAGCCTTTCCAGTGGGAATGGAAAGAAGGCTGTTGAGTCTTTCTTCTGCAGCTGTTTTCATTTTCTTCCTGATCATGCCACTCTCACTGTCCCTGCTGGACCCCATTCTCTGGCTGGGTTTTGGAGCCGTTAAATTTGTGTTGCCTCTGGGCCAGTTGTTTCTCGAGGAGGGTGTAGCTGTGGGGCCAGACCCTTCACTACGGTGATAGCACAACTGCTGGAGCCCCACGGTTTCATTCCCAGGTCACTGCTACATGAGAAAACAGTGGTTGGCGATGCTCTGATCCCTGGCCTTCGGTGGGCTGATGAACGTGCCTGGGGGCTAGCCCTACTCCAGGCCTTTTTAAAGTTGGTTTTGTTTTTTTTTTCCTTTAAGTCCCATATTGTGGGTTTGAGTTTAATCACTATGGATACAAGGCAAATTGAAAGCAGAATTTGTGCGCGTGACCTTGTTTTCAAATGTTTACGAAAGAGCGGAAGAATTAGCTGCCGTGAGAGTGGGAAGGAGAGCGCTGCGGTATGGGCTTTTTTTTCTTTTCAGGCAAAAATTTGTCGAGATTGGGTGCACGGCTTGCTTGTTCATAAAAATTTGGCTTCCTGTTCCCATAGCTTTCCAACACAATTTAATTCACATTTTTTGCTTTACCGGTGCCTCCATTTGGAGCATTAAGGGGAAACTGGGGTGAATATTACCACAGAAATGCCTTTCCAGCTTGCAGCCTGTGTGGGTTTTACTCTCTGCATGTTTGACTGCACCTTCTGAGCTCTGGAAGCTGGTTCCAACCTGAAACCCCTCTCCTATGTCTCTTGTCTGGGAAAGAAATTGGTGCCTCAGCTGGCTTCTTGTTGGGCCCATCTTGCTATTGGGATGGACAAGGATGATTGTGAAAAAGAAAAATGCTGGAAGTATTTCCTAGGCTCTGATGATGGCATCATTTATCCTGGTTATTTCCCAGCTGTGTTTGGTTTGGTGACTGGCTGGAGTTGGGAGTGGGTTCCTTAGCTGGTGGTTTCCCAGAGGTGTGATGGTTTTATCCCTGAGCCACTGCTGGTTTCCTCTCCTGCTCCCACCTGCTCCTCGCTATCACATCTTTGTGCCCTTGAGTTTCATTTTATTTTATTTTTTTTGGCATGGGGCTGTAGGTCCATGTCCCTGCTCCCTCCATCCCCTTGCCCGGGCTCTCTGATGTGCCAGCACTGCTACTCGTTACCTGGGGATGGCAAGGATGCAGAGCAAAGTCCCAAAGAGCTGTTCCCTTTGGGCTCTGCTGAGCTTTACACATGACTGTATTTACCAAAACCCCCTCTTTCTTTGCCCAAGCTGCCTATCCCGATGTTTTACCCTGGTGAAGTAATGCTGTGCCGGCATCTGCTTGGGTACTGATGCTGGTAATGGGGCTTTCAGTGCGAAAGGGGCAGGAGAAGAGACTGCTCTTGCACTGAGCTAATTACCTCAAGCCGATAGCTGGTTAATTATCGTGAATGACTGACACTCCTTGTGCAGTGCAATGGCGTAAAGTGGCTGATCCTCCCTGGGGCCTCTCTGTGTGTCTGCGTGTGAAACATCAGTGCTGGGAGTATCAGCGAAGTGGTCGGGGTCCCACTTGCCAGTGCTGTGGTGGTGTTGTTTTTTTGTTTGTTTGTTTTTGGTTTTTTTTTGTTTGATTTTATGGAGATTTTTATTTGTTTGGTTGGTTTTGTTTTGTTTTAATTGAAAGATGGGATTTCTCTTCCATGTGCTGACTGTTGTAATGTTTCATTAGAGATGAGTAGGTACAGCATTTTCCGACAGGCCTCTTTGCTCTCTGAGTTCTGTTTATAAGAAGGCTGTAGAGGGTTAATGACAGAGCGTGAGATGGCAGAGTTATGCCTTTAGTTATAAATACAGCCATGGAAAGTGTTATGGGCGGTATTAATCAACCGTCTGACTTGCTGGACTCTAGAAATTGAAGAATCATTTACTAAAGCATGTTTTACATTTCTTTGTCTTTCATGAAGAGGAAGACCTTGGGAGAGGATCTTGAGAGGGATGGTTGAAAGACAAAGGATGCCAGGCCAGGTCTCAGCATCTCTTTGGGGTGCCCAGGGCCACAGCTTAGGACCTGTGGGCAGTTTGGACAGTGGTGCTGACCACACACTCAGGGGGCTGGGGGTCATTCTTGGATGAGCTTCCCCGACTCTGGAGGGGAGGGCTCCTGGGGAGGGACTGCTTGGGCCGTGCCCCTGGGACAACATCTATTTGGGGCAGAGGACATCAGTTACAGAACATCCTGAATCTCGCAGCAGCCCCCGGCACTTATCCAAACCTGATAAGTCTTAACTATGACAAGGTTCAGGCTTCGCCCTGGCCAGCTCCCTGACTGCAGAGCAGATTCGGGGATGTTCCCCAGCTGTGGGGCCCCTGCGCTGGTGACCAGGGGGATGGGCTTTTGGGGTGGCAGGTTTTCTTTTTCGGTAACATCAAATCTGGCCATAAATGAGGAAGGGTGCTGGAAGCAATGGGAAGAGAGGGGCTGCCCTAGAGGCTTAAAATCCACATGAAGATGGGAATGCCTGAGCCCCACAGGCCTAGACATGTCTCATAGTGGGTTTGCATGGGCCAGGCGGAGCCAGAGCTGTAGGGAGAACTTGGAGCCGCTGGGACATTCCCATCCCAAAGCCCCACCGTGGGTGATGCCAGTGGCATGCAGAAGCCCTGCTGGCTGGTTCTGGGGGCCGAGAGCACTGACAGTGGTGCAGTCATGATGGGGGCGCAGCTGGGGAGCGTGGTGACGGCGGGACGGCTTGGCACGTCCCCAGCCACGGCGCAGAGCCCCAGCCCCAGCCCCGGCTGGCAGGAGCAGATGGCCAGCACATCTTGGAGCAGGCCTGGCATGTGGGCGCCGGCAGTGGAGGGACAGCCGCAGCCCCCAAGCCGCCTCCACCATGCCGGGCTCCCTGGCCGAGGGCGGCAGTTGTGTGATGCTCGTCCTGTCTTTGCATGTCTTGATGGCTCTGTGCTCTTTCCAGCTTCTGTGTTGTCATTGCAAGGCTCCCTCTGCTTGGTTCTGAAATCCCCTGCTCCTGGAGTCATGGGGTCATGAGGGTGCCTTCACCTCTGCCTCTGAGAATTAAAATGAGGAGGCACATCCGGATGTGAAGGAAAAAAAAGTCCTTCCAACCTCTGAACACACACAAAAGAAAATGTGTTTGAGAAACCCATCAGTGTTGGATTTTAAAATCATACCCTGCATCTTTGTACGGGGGATGAGTGTGGTCCTGGCAGACCATGGCGGGCTCTACCCAGGGGGAAGGTGGGATCTGCTGGTGCAGGGCAGTGCAGCGCAGCCTCCTCTCATGGGCTGGAGGCTCGTCTGGCAGCTGCTGCCGTAGAGGAGAGACAGGGAAGAGGTTTGAAGCACCGTGGCTGTTTATCTTGCTTAATGTGTCTAATGAATGTAATTATGCAATTAGCTGCAAACTGTAGCGCAACTTCCCCAGCCCAGAAGGGTTGCAAAGCAGATAATCCCGGATGGATAGAATGAATAAGGTGATGCTGAATACTCTAGAGCTGCCTGCTCCCACTGGCTAGGACTTCCTATGGTCTGTGTGGTTTGTGCTGGTAATTTGCAGTTCTTTGCTTTCCCTGGCCTGGAGAAACAGGATTTTTTGCTCTCCTTGTGGCTGATTGGAGAGAATGGGCCTTCCAGAGAGCCATGGGCCAGCCCAGCTACAGTGGAGAATGCCTTCCAGGGGTCCTTTTCCCTTCTTATAGGGCATCCTATGAAGAGTATGGTGCTAACTTGGGGTTCTCCACCTGGTCACGCACTGGAGGCAGTCAGGCTGGTCTGGACAGGGTAACAGAGCACATGGCAGGTCTGTGGCATGATATCCTTCTTGCTGGTCTCTCTTTTCCCATTCCTCATTTTTTTTTGATTCTTGAGCATCCTATCCTTCTTGCCTGCTCTCAATCCCCACCTAGCACCTTGTTTCCTGTAGCAAATGCCTCTCTATCCTTGCCTGCTTCCCCATAGCTCCTGGAGGAAACATGCTGACTTGTAGGCTGGGATGAGCGCAGCTGTGGGGTAGTCAAATCTGGCCTCATCCCTACAAGGGTTATAGCGGTGGGTCTATATTCCAGGCCAGGACCAGGTGCTGGTCCTTTGTTTTTTGTTATTAGGTTGCCTTGTTGTGCTGGTGGGGGTGGGAGGGAAGTGGGGAAGCAGCGGGATGCAGCAACGAGAGGTGTGTTGTGGCGGCCGCTGGGGGCTCTGCACTGGAAATGGCAGGTGAACAAAATACACCCTG